CCCCGCGAGCCCCGCAGAGCCCCGCAGAGCCCCGCGGAGAGCCGGCGCCGGGCTCGGGCTCGGGTCAGGGCTCCCCGCGGCCCTAGCAGCTGGGGGAGGTGGTGATGGGGCTGTGCAGGTACGGAAGGCTGCTGGGGGCCGCGTGCACACCCACCGACACCGGGAAGCTGAAGACAAACTGCGACGTGGGGGTGGGGGTGGCCTTGCCCCGCTCCCGCAGGGGCCCGGAGGGGCTGGCGGCCTCCACGGCGCAGGACGTGGCCAGCACCTGCGACTCGAACTGCAGCAGCTGCCCCATGAAGCTGAAGTTGGGCGAGATGATGCTCCGCCGCTGCTTGACGAACTCGAAGGCCTCCTCCAGCCTCACGCGCTTCTTCATCATCAGGTAGGCCAGGCAGATGGTGGCCGAGCGCGAGATGCCCGCCTGGCAGTGAACCAGCACCCGGCCGCGGCGGTCCTTCACCGCATCTGGGGCAGAGAGCGCGCCGCGGTTAGTGCCCTGCGCGCCCCCACCCCCCGGGGTGGCCCGGCGGCAGGTGTGGACAGTGGGGGCGGCGGGAGGGCGCCTGAGGAGTGTTGGAGGAGGGGCACTCCCATTCCTAGTGAGGAGGGGGCGGGGAGAAGCCCACCGCAAGGGACTCTAGCGTTCCACCCCTTCTGGGCTATTTTTGAGACTTCACCGAACAAATGCACTGAGCTTGGGAAAAACCCGGGTTCAAGCCGGTTAAATCCCAACATACCTCCAAGGATTTCCATTTGCAGAAACAAAAACAATGACCCCACTTCTCCCATCATTTGTCTTCCTCCCCATCCCCAAAGCCTTATCATCTGGACGTCTGGAGCCGGGCAAGGAAAACGGTATTGGCTGGGTAGGCTGACGGCTCGGGAGCGGGAGCCGATCTCCCTATCCCCCCTGCAACACGACATCCGGGCGGCCAGCCTCCCTTAGAGGCGTACACCCTGGACGCAGTGTCCCCCAAGCCCCTCCTCCAGCGGGCCAGGACTCGGGGTTCCCTGCCGTCCTCCCGCCCTGGCCGGCGTCCACCGCAGCGCCAACCTACCGATGTACTCGATGGCCTCCATGAACCAGGAGCTGATGTCCGCCTTGTGGTTGTCTTCCACCGGGATGCACTTGTACTGATAATGTCCTTCAAAGTGGTTCGGGCAGTCAGAGGAGACATTCAGCAGGGCCGAGATCCCCAGGGCATCCAGCATGTCCCTCCGGGCAGCGTGGTACGCACTGCCGAGGTAGAGGAAGGGAAGGATCTCCACGGGACCCCCCTGCACCAGAAAGGGAAAGCAAAGGCCCCCGGACATGGTGAGTGTAAGGCGCCCAGGAAAAGAGCTGGGATGCTCCGGACGGGGAGAGGGAACCTGCCCGAGGTGGGCTTTCACAAGCCCTGGGGAGAACGCCTGGGGACACAGCCCTCCCAGCTTTCCCCTGCACCTGCTGGGGCTCCCGGCGAATGACAGGCCCAGGGGGCTTCTCTGGCCTTTCCACTCGGCTCTGCTGTGAGCAGAGAAGCGGGGCCGGTAAAGCCTGGTGGGCCCCCCCGCCGGTTCAAGCAGCCCGCCTCCGCCCTGAGACATGAAGAGGCAGACGCCATGCTGGTCTTGCCACGCCATCTGCGACATTCATCTACACCTAGCTGGTGTGTGGTCAGGTGGCACGCTAAAAACGGGTGTTATGTCAGCCTCACAGGCTAGAGGAGGCGCCTTGGCAATATGAGGTAACGTCGGCTTAATTCGTGACATTTTCTGAGTCACATCAACTCAAAATGATCTGGGATCTGGGAGCAGAGTTGCTGGACCCCATAAATTCACCCCATCTAATGAAAGAGCGAGAGTCGCCTCGTAAGGAATATAGCAGCTTAAGCTGGTTTTCTTTTTTTTTTTCTTTTTAAAGATTTTATTTATTTATTTGAGAGAGAGAGAATGAGAGAGAACACATGAGAAGGGATAGGGTCAGAGGGCAAAGCAGACTCCCTGCCGAGCAGGGAGCCCGATGCGGGACTCGATCCCGGGACTCCAGGATCATGACCTGAGCCGAAGGCAGTC